GGCAATATTGTTCTAAATTATGGCAGGAATCGATTGGTAAATGTTTTAAATCGCTAAGTGGTCTGGTTGCCGAGATATGGAGCGAAAACTGCATTTGTTCGAGGTTTTTTGGCTTTTCCGGGAAATCCAGGAAGGAATTCCGGGAATTTTTTGGCCTATGTTCATCCTCGGAACTTGCTTAACATATTTGCTTTGGAACTAGTCCTCGATATTGCTTCGTTGAGGAGGAGATACGACTTAAAGGCTGCGGACACACATCCATCCAGAAATGACGAGTTAATAATAACAATCCCAGTATGGAAATTGCGCTAAAATAAACCGGGAGTGATCTCCCCTAAACTTTCTCGAATATTCTTATATAAAACAACAGGGGATGGGAACTCGGGAAATAGTTATGATTTTTAATCAATTTTAAATACATAAACTTTTTAAAATAAAATAGAATCTCATAGAAAAAAGTATTGCACACCAAGCGAACGCCGAATAAAGATGTTCATAATGGTGCGCAATATTATTAGTACTTTATAAATTTAGATGCGTTTTTGAGAAATCGGAAATAGCGTAAATTAGTACTTCCCGTCAACGGAAATTACTCAAAATTTAACAGAAGGTAGAGAATTAGATCTTTTACTTACATGTGAAATTTCATTTATCTATCTGAAATAGTACTCAAGTTATAGGATTTTGAAAAATTCAAAGTAGAAAAAGTACCACTTCCGGTTATCGGAAATCGCTCAAAAGTTGATACGGATCTACGATTTTGATAAAATACTTACATATGAAATTTCATCAACCTAGCAGTAACGGTACTCAAGTTATCGTGTTTACACACGGACACACAGACAGACACACACACACAGACATACGGACAAGATTGCAAAATTATGTTTTTCCGTATCAGTGAGGTGTAAAACGTCGAGATTTGTAAAAATCTCGATTTTTTTTTTTTGCACGATTACAATACTTTCTCTATACTACATATATACGAGAAAGTAAAAATGATTAAAAAAAATATGGGTTCGGCGAAGGTCAAAACACACACTCGACGTATGATTCACGATCGGATTTTTGTAAGTTTGGACTATAGAACTATGACGAAGGGTTCGGTGAATGCGCATATGAAACTGGTGGGGTTAGGTACCCCAAAATAGGTTAAGAGCTACTGGTTTAGCCTAACAGCGGTTTTAGTAGCGTTAGGATTACATTAATTAAAGAATAAGCTACCAGAAATAGCTTGATCGCGCGGCTTTTATAGTTTTCTTAATTATGTTACAGTTTTATGTTTTTTTCATCGTGGCTACACGCAAGGTTCACATACAGACACACCTACACACACACTCACATACACATATAATTATATAATTATTTAAATTATAGTGCATTATTATATATTTAAAGAAAATAATTTTTAATGCTTTTTTGAGCATAATTATATAAAAGCTTGTCATTGAAACTTTTTTATACAACAATTCCCTTTAGAACTTTAATGTTAGATTTTTTTAGCGCAATTTCCATTCTGGAGAATTGCGTTTATTAACGCGTCATTTCTGGGAATGGATGGATGGATGGATGAATGAATGTATGGATGAATGTGTGTCCGGGCTTTAAGTCGTATCTCCTCCTCAACGAAGCAATATCGATGACTAGTTCCAAAAGCAATTATGTTAAGCAAGTTACGAGAATGAGCATAGGCCATAAAAATTCCGGGTTTCTTTCATGTATTTCCCGGAAAAGCCAAAAAACCTCGAACAAATGCAGTTTTTGGCCCATATCTCGGCAACCAGACCACTTAGCGACTTGAAACATGTACCAATCGATTCCTGCCATAATTTAGAACAATATTGCCGAAGAAAGTTTTCAAAAATATCCTCTCGTTTAGTCACAAATTTTAAAATTACATAAACACCTACAAACCGATCGTTCTTCTAGCTTGAACGCATCCCAGCATTATACGTCAGAGCTATTTTTAGATAACATAAGGAAATTGCGCATTAATGTCACTAGACTTTTTAATTAACTTGTTTTAGTAATAATGCAATTAACATGTTTTATGTTAAGAAGTCATTGCATTTTTAATTTCTCGTATTCGAAGTATTGTAATTCCTGAGTCGGAAAAACATAGTTTTACATTTTTTCCGTATATCTCTCTGTGTGTGTATGTATGTATGAATGTGTGTATGCATGTGTGTATGTCTGTGAACACGATAACTTGAGTACCGTTACAGCTAGGTTAATGAAATTTCATATATAAGTATTATATCAAATAAGTAGTTCTGTATCAACTTTTCAGCGATTTCCGGTAACCGGAAGTGGATCTTATTCTTTTTGTTTATCAAAAGCCTATAACTTGAGTACTGTTTCAGTTAGATAAACAAAATTTCACATATAAGTAAAAGATCTAATTCTCTGTCTGCTGTAAAATTCTGAGTAATTTCCGTGGACCATAAGTATTTGGCGCTATTTTCGATTTCTCAAAAAACGCATATGAATTTGTAAAGTACTAATATTCCGCACTATTATACTTTTATTGTTTGCTGTTCACTTTGTTCGCAATTTTTTTTTACGAGATTCTATTCTATTTTAAAAAGTTTTAGCATGTAAAACTGATCAAAAAGCATGTCTGTGTCCCTAGTTGCCATCACGGTAGTGTTATATAAGTATATTCGAGAAAGTTTAAGGGAGATCACTTCCGGTTTATTTTTTCATGAAATTAAATTAGTGTATTCACAACTTTCCACTCCACCCCATTTCATCGCCCTGTAAGTGACACCAGCTTTCTGTTTTTTCTATCAACACACCACGAGAAAATTAAAATGTGCACTACTTCTATTTTCGGTCGGATTCTTTATCGCTACTCCAACATGGGCAAGGATAGACTTAATTTAGCAGTTCTGTCTATATTTTTATAAAAGAGAAAAGTCCTACCCCACCCCCCCCCCCCTCGTTAACCCGTGAAATTTCCCCGTCGCTATCGTCATGAGTGGATAAAAAAAAACCTTTTTTACTGTAGTTATACATATAATATAACTAACACATTCACTACGTGTGTTATCGACAAAGAAATACATATAACCCCTCCTCACTTTCTCCTCACTTACCTGTGTTAGGCAGGAACCATCCACCTGTGCCGACAATACCATCCAACACCTGCAGTAGACAGAGCACGACAACAAACGTCATGCTGACACCAGCCCACACCAACTACACCAACCAGACCTAGCCCAGCAACAGCTCAGCGCGTCGTCAGCTCTGCGTGACGCGGTGCCAGAAGTTCGCGGTGGGATTAAACCCCTCGCTCTAGCCTCACGACATCCCCCGTTCTATTCTCTTGACACCCCTCGCTCTAGCCTCACGACAACCCCCGTTCTATTCTCATGACACCCCTCGCTCTAGCCTCACGACATCCCCCGTTCTATTCTCATGACACCCCTCGCTCTAGCCTCAAGACAACCCCCGTTCTATTCTCATGACACCCCTCGCTCTAGCCTCACGACAACCCCCGTTCTATTCTCATGACACCCCTCGCTCTAGCCTCACGACAACCCCCGTTCTATTCTCATGACACCCCTCGCTCTAGCCTCACGACAACTCCCGTTCTATTCTCATGACACTCCTCGCACTATCCTCTATGACACCCCTCGCTCTATTCTCTATGACACCTTTAGCTCTATTCCCCTAACACCCCAAGCTCTATCCTCAATGACACCCTTCTTGTTCTTTCCTCCATGACACCCTTCTTGTTCTTGTCACCATGACACCCCTCGTGTTCTTGTCTCCATGACACCCCTCTTGTTCTTGTCTCAATGACACCCCTCTTGTTCTTGTCTCCATGACACCCCTCTTGCTCTTGTCTACATGACACCCCTCTTGTTCTTACCCAGAGGCGTAGCTACCCTTCCCGGCGCCCGGGGACAAACTTTCGATTTGCACCCCCCCCCCTCAAACTTTCGATTTGCACCCCCCCCCTCAAAATTTCGATTTGCACCCCCTCGAACTTTGATTTACACCCACCCCTCTCAAACTTTCAATTTGTTTTTCCAACCCATTTTGGCGGCCCCCTAAGGTCGGCGCCCGGGACATGTGTCCCCCGCCCCCCCCCCCCTCGCTACGCCTCTGTTCTTGCCTTCTTGATACACATGCCACGCCCCCCCTTCCATTAAACACCCATCCATTGATGTTGAAATGTGCGTGATCACCATCTGATTCCAATTTTACTGACTGAAGAATAAACGAGAATTAAAAAAACTCACTCGGTTTTGTTTTCCTCTCTCTTACTCACACACACGCACACACAAAGAGTGATGTACTCTCACACATAAACACGCGCTCACAAACACACATACATACAGCTTTAAAACACTCCATTCGGTGGTTTCAAATGAACAGATTTGCATAGGTCTCAAGTTACAAAGACAAAAGCTCGCACTAATTTTGTTTTAATCGCGTGGGGTAAGTTATCATTATCGACATAATAAATGTTGATTGTTGATACATGAGTTTAACATTCTTTTATAGGTCTGACAATCATTACAAATACTAAAGTTTTTTTTACCCAATTTAAATTAAACAATACTTTTTTTCGCTTTTATATCTAGTTATTTTGACTATAGGGACAACCTGAACTTTAACCTTGCTTGACTACATTGTTTTGAAATTGATTACCTCGCAGTTGTCTGCCTTGACACGAAGTTTAACCGTGCACGCGATGCAGTTATCCCCCCTTACAGTTTTCCCAAATCAACGCGTCTTTATTATAAAAAAAGTAAGGAAAAAAACGAATTTCCGATAATCACTTGATTTGTGATTAGAAATAATCACTCGAACATTTTGCCCCACATGTAGTCTCGTTATGGTAATATTATTTTACCAGTTCTATTTCCGGTAACGTTCATCACAGCAAGGTTTTAAACTGCTGCGACTGTATGGATACTGTGATACATTTTTTTAATTAGATTTCTACATGCTAAACTTAGCAAATCGTATATTTTCTGGTCTGTTTTTCTATTCGTTTATCAGAAATATAGAATATAACTTTCACTTTCAGACATATTCAGACATGTCTGAATATGTTTAAAAAAATATAAAATACGAGCCGGCCCGCGGCATAACATACGCCGCTATTTAGTTGTTTCTAATTTTCAATAATTCATAATTTGTGAATTCGACAGTACCAACGCTGACACTGAAAATATTTCTTTAAAACACTATAAGTAGCTCGTTAAGGACCATAACCCCCCCTCCCCCCCCTACGTTTAAAATCGTTGGCTCTGCTTGTAAACATTTAGAGTGAACACAGCTCACTAAAACCATGTAGGGGTGGGGAGGTAGGGAGAGCGTTTGCAGCTTGTTTTCTAACGGCTCGAAGAAGAGAATTATATATATAGATAAATTCTGACGGTTTTGTAGGAATCAGAAAATCGCTCATAAATTGAGAGAAACCTAAGTAAATAAAATCATAACACCCCAACCCCATTCGTTTTATATAATTTCCGTTATCCTTAAACGACTATACTACACAATAAAGCTTATTAAAAAAATAAACACTGCATTAATTTTAATTAACAAGAGGAATAATTACGTATTGATTCGTTTCAAAATCTAGTTTTACGGTATAGAAGTTAGAAGGTGTGGTCTTTTTGTACTTAAATAAATATTTAAAAAATTCTGAAATAATATATTTTTTTGTTCCTATGGTTATAAATTGAAAACATGATTTTTATTGGCTAGTTTACAATAACCGCGCATGTAAACACGGTTTTTCATTCGTCAGTTAACAAAAGCCATGAATGTATTCATAGGAAGTTCCCACAGATGCGAGCCCAGTGGTCTTTTCTTGTCACGTGATTGGAGTGTTGTTTTTTTTCATTGGTTGCCCGGTCATGTTACGGCTACACCTCTAGCCGTAACAAGATATTTCCTTTATTTTGTTGACAACTTTGAATAAATCGTATGATATTTAAAAAGAAATGCCTCTCATTGTGCCTGCTTAGCGCAAAATTTAACTGCTGGAAATTTAATTTTTCAAAAATAAAAAATAAATAAAAAATTGCAGCTAAGTTAACAAATCAATTAACGGTAAAACGGATTATGTTGCATCAATTATAATTGAAATAAGATTTCGTAATTTGAGGCTCCTAATTAACGAGTGGTGTTTTTTAATCTTTGATGGAAATTGAGGGGGGGGGGGTGTCTGGAAGGGGTGGTATGGAATGAACATTGTTGTTGTTTTATGTAACACAGGTTCTGTTAGTTGGGATAAATGGGTTAGTTGGGATATTTAGGGATAGCTAGGATAGTAGTGAATAGTTGGGAAGGGTCAAGCTAGTTGGGATTACCTGAGAGATTTGGGAATAATTTTGGGGATAATAGGGTTAGTTTAAATATCTAGGAGTATTTAGGATAATTGCTGTTAATTTGGGATATTACGGATGGTTGGGAATATGTGGGAATATTTGGGATAATTGAATTAATTGGGATATTTGGGATTGTTGGGAATATTTCTATGATATTTGGGCATATTTAAAATAATTGGGTTATTTGGGATATTTAGGATAGTTGAGAAATTTGGGATAGTCGGGAGAGTTGGTGATGATCCAGTGAGTCACTGCATTAATTTCTTTATTTGCTGGAGTGACTACATTAATTTCTTTATTTGCTGGAGTGACTACATTAATTTCTTTATTTGCTTGAGTCACTGCATTAATTTCTTTATTTGCTGGAGTGACTACATTAATTTCTTTATTTGCTGGAGTGACTACATTAATTTCTTTATTTGCTTTAGTCACTACATTAATTTCTTTATTTGCTGGAGTGACTACATTAATTTCTTTATTTGCTGGAGTGACTACATTAATTTCTTTATTTGCTGGAGTGACTACATTAATTTCTTTATTTGCTGGAGTGACTACATTAATTTCTTTATTTGCTGGAGTGACTACATTAATTTCTTTATTTGCTGGAGTGACTACATTAATTTCTTTATTTGCTGGAGTGACTACATTAATTTCTTTATTTGCTGGAGTGACTACATTAATTTCTTTATTTGCTGGAGTCACTACATTAATTTCTTTATTTGCTGGAGTGACTACATTAATTTCTTTATTTGCTGGAGTCACTACATTAATTTCTTTATTTGCTGGAGTGACTACATTAATTTCTTTATTTGCTGGAGTGACTACATTAATTTCTTTATTTGCTGGAGTGACTACATTAATTTCTTTATTTGCTGGAGTGACTACATTAATTTCTTTATTTGCTGGAGTGACTACATTAATTTCTTTATTTGCTTGAGTGACTACATTAATTTCTTTATTTGCTTGAGTCACTACATTAATTTCTTTATTTGCTTGAGTCACTACATTAATTTCTTTATTTGATTGAGTGACTACATTAATTTCTTTATTTGCTTGAGTCACTACATTAATTTCTTTATTTGCTTGAGTCACTACATTAATTTCTTTATTTGCTTGAGTCACTACATTAATTTCTTTATTTGATTGAGTGACTACATTAATTTCTTTATTTGCTTGAGTCACTACATTAATTTCTTTATTTGCTTGAATCACTAAATTAATTTCTTTATATGCTGGAGTGACTACATTAATTTCTATATATGTTACACTCTTGGGTATAATCGTATACCATTATGTAAACGTCTATAATTTTTGCTACATTGCTGCCTATGCCTTATCTAAACATGTATTCACCTTTCTATTGCTGTAGATGTTTATACTGTTTTCAGCTCGGTATGTTGAATTTAGTACAATGAGTATTGTGGACACACACACATACACACAAACATATATATATATATATATATATATATATATATATATATATATATATATATATATATATATATATATATATATATATATATATATATATATATATATATATATATATATATATATTTATACATTTATATACACACATTTACACACACACTACACACACACACACACACACACATATATATATATATATATATATATATATATATATATATATATATATATATATATATATATATATATAACAATGGGTTTGTGTGTGGGGGGATGGGGGGTTTCGGTGCGTATGTGTGTATATTATAACCCCCATCCACGCTTTAAGAACATAGTTTGGAGCGGCCTTCACATAAAGCACAAGTGTAGAGCCTGGAGCTCTAAGCGCTACAAGACCATATCGGCAATT